GCTGCCCAGAATGAAGGGCCCAGGGTAGAACTTCCATAACTTGGAACTATGGGGGATCTATTGGGTATTTATCAGCTTTTCTTTGCTATGACTAAAATACCTGAAACAACCAAGGAGGAATTATTTATTTTGGCTCATGGTTTCAGACGTTTCAATTCATGATCACTGACTCCATTGCTCTGGGTCTGAGGGATAGCTGAAATCATGGTAGAAGGGTACGGTGAAGGAAAGGGTGGGGGGGCGGAGGGGAGGGAGAAAGAGGCAGGCCAGAGACAAGATATAGTTCCCGAGGGCATGCTACTGGTCACCTATTTCTCCAGCCATGCCCCACCTGCCTACAGCTACCAACCAGTTGTCCATTCAAATTATCAACCCACCAAATGGATTAATCCACCCATGAGGTGTTATGGTTTGGATCTTTAATGTTCCCCCAAAGCTCATGTGTTAGGTGAAATTCTAGTAATTTCCGAGGTGAAATTACTAGATTACAATTGCTATAACCTCATCAGTGAATAAACTCATTTTGTTGAGTTCATAATTCAAAGGGACTACTGGGTGGCAACCAGAGGCAGATAGGGCATGGCTGGAGGAAGTAGTCACTGAGGACATGGATCAGGGTCTCCTAAAATATGTAGAAGTTTCCACAAATAAAATTTCCCCAAATTTTTGAGTTGTATTTATCTGAAAAATCTTGGGCTGCATTGAAATAATATTGTAAAATGTTTAAATTTCAAATTTAAGAAATAATTTTATTATGTCTCTATAATCCTCCAATACATTTTTCTGTCAGCAATTTTAAAAGCTTTTGTAGTCCTTCAGACATTCTTAGGCAAATCACCTGTTCTGTTTGTGGATTGCATTAAACCCAGGTGGGGGTGGAGGACAAATTTCTTAGTGGTCCCAAACTCTGTCTTCCAAGTATGTTACCCACACATTTACAATTTCAGTTTCTCAATCTGTACACACCTTCACAATTTCTCTGCATTTGTGTTTTGCCTGCACTTCACTTATTCACATAACATTCTTCTAAGACATTTTAAAGTATCTTTTTTTTTTTAAGGGCTGATAGCTCCAGTATTAAAATAAATGAAGTAATTTTGTTTTTAATTTTTGTGGTGCTGGGGATTGAATCCAGACTCTCAAGCATGCTTGGCAGGAGCACTACCACTGATTTACACCCCTGGGCCCAGGATCAGTGTTTAGAATGACATTCATTTTATTCAAAAACATTTTTTTTTTTTTTGCATAAAAGCACTTCTTTCCTGAAGGAACTTATAAATATTCAAATCAGGTTCTGCATGGGTGAATTTTCTCCTGCTGCTCAACCCAGATAACTTCCAAAGGTCATCTGGTCTCAAAGCCCTCCAATTCCACCGTGCCATAGGCCTTCCTTTGCAATGCAGATATGCAAGTCCCACTAGGTGATGACTTTCTTCACTTCCTGTCCCACTTGGGGCTATAACAGTAGCCCTGTGCTGTGAGAATCAGCAGAGAAGCAATTTCTGTGTGTTAGGTGTGCTAGATTCGAAGTTCACTAAACGTGGGACCTACTTCAAAAAACTCACCAGTTGGAGGAAATAGCCTTGGGAGGGAACAATGTATGTGATAAATAATGTACTTCTAATTGTCAACACTGATACCTGCTTTTTTTGTGTGACCTGCTCAGCAAGTTTAAAAAACTAAGAGTTTCCCGATTTAAAAAAAAAAAAAAAAAAACTGATGATGTATGCTCCAACTGTGCTCTCTCCTGACAGGAGGGGACAGCAGTGGCACTGCGCATTAGCTGTGAGGGGAGCCACTCCACAGGGGCCACACTTTCTGTTACACTACCCTTGGAAATTTTACCAAATGGTTTCAACATTTCCACAGGGAGAGGAATGTTTGAATTCAGGGCACTCGGGGTGGCCTCACTTTTCTTTTCAGAAACCATGTGACAAGGCCCTCCTGGTCCAAGGGGGTCCCTTCTTGTGCCCAATGTCTTAGCATCTCAGGTCAGGGCTTGTCTGGTCTGGTCCTTTCCCCAGAGGCTGTGTCTCTGTAAGAAACAGCCACATTGTTTTTATCTCCATACCTGCTGTCTGCCCTTTTGAAAAATACAGCAGGAATGGAGCATCAGTCTGGCCCCTTGAAGGCCTCCTCTTTCCCTGCCAGAGGCCCCAGGGCAGGACTTACAAGGCTGTGGCAGAACTCCTGCTAAGAGCCCTTGAAAGGAAGATCAGGGAAAGGGAACTTCCAGACCTATCATAAATTCATAAGCTTTGATTTATAAATATAATGGCTCACTGAAAAGAGGATCTGGTTTAGAGGCAGTGCCGGTGTCGGGGACAGGGGTCAAGCTCAGACAGCATGCTTGCCTAGTATGTCTGAGGCCCTGGGTTCCACCTCCAGCCCCAGGAGACAGCCAGTATTCCAGACTCAAGAGTTTTAGAACAGGGACTGAGTCATCCCCTCAGGGATTCAGTCCCCAGATAGAAGATAGCTGCCAACCCCCATGGCTCAAATTTAAGAACCAAACATATAAAATAGCTACTCCTTAACCAATAAAATTAAAAACAAAATCAGAAATAACTAAACTCTGGGAATATCGTTGCTTAACCATTTCTTTGTATTTTTATTGAGTTTTTTTTTTTTGTACTTTTTTTTTAAATTTCTGCCCAAATACCACAGTGAACTGAGAAACCACAATTACAATTCACAGACTGTGGCATGAAAAACATCACACACTCCATCAGGAATCACATCAAACCCTTTCCTCTTTATTCATTCAAAAGAGAGTCCAATGCACAAGTGTCAAATATGAGCACTGTCATTTTTTTTTTTCTTTTCTTAGAAGGGGAAAAACATTTATTCTGGCAGCACTTTTACAATTCCAGGAAGTGGCTCTGATACCACAAGTTGCAGGAATAGAAACCATAACAAACTTGGAGGGCATTTCTTTGAGAGGCAAGGGACTCCGTGGTTGGAAAAAAATTCTTCTTGTGCTTAGTGAATTGCCTGTCAGCCTCGGTGGGCCGCTGAAATCTTCCTGGGTGTTGAAAGAGAAAACGGAATTTCCTACATAGACATTGTGGAAAACTCCTGTAGAGCAGAGTGTTTTCTGTATCTCCAACCCTCCCCCCACAGGCTGAAGCAAGTTCTCATGCTTTGCTTTTTCTGGAGCTTCTTGTGGTCACATGACCCTCTTATCATATGGACCTTTTGGCCAAAACACACGTGGCAGCAAGGTTTCCTCTTACACTGCTTCTCTAGGGTTCAGATGACAGCACAAAACATGACTGGTCAAAAAAGAGCAGATATTAAGAACATGGGCATTTATGTTCGTGAAAATAGCAAACACTTTGAGAGTATGTCACCCGAAGGGGCATTATTTCCATTTATATGGCCCTAAGGGGAGTTGGCCCAAAGTCATATGCTTGGGAGTCTCTTTCAAAGGACTGGTCAAGTCGGGTGATTGGACAGTATAAGTACTGTCTCATGCCAATTAAAAAAACTTATTGCCCAACAATTCAATGGTCCATAAAGCAATTAAATGTTACCATTCAGTTTACACACACACACACACACACACACACACACACACACAGGAGAACTGTGACAAAAGGATTAACCAGATTAGTCTTGTGACTCTGTTCTAAAAGGAAAATGAAATCTCCAATTCGAAGTGTCATATATTCAAGTATTTAAAAAAATGTAAAGACAATCTGATCCCACTCTTGATTTTAAGATGATAAGGAAATCATAACCAGGGCTTCTGGAGTCAGTGAAATTAACTCCTGGGGCACAAAATATTTTATAAAAATTGATTTGTGAGGTCGTGAAATGCAGCCCACTTGTTCATTCTTTCTTTTGAACATGTGGAGACCACTGTGGCATTCCAAGAGTCAGTGCTTTCTAAACAAAGTGAAAGAGTAACACCAGCTGACTCGCTCTTCTGTCTGACACTGGTGAGAAACAGTTTTGCACATTTTCTATCAACATGCGCAGGAGGCAGATGTAAACAGAGTCCTTTACATTCTTCAAAGAATGTGTTACTACTGCAGCATATGCTGTTTGGCCCCAATTAGGAGGAGACTAGAGAGCAATTGGTAGGGTTTGCTTTTTAAGTTTTACCTCCTGGAGATTTCAAAACAAGCGGTTTACTAGTTCTTGGCAGTAGATTGTCCTACAAGAGGCTCTGTATGAATAGCCAGTGTGGGATTATGCTCCCCAGGTAGGAAGCTCACTACCGGAAGGTCCCACAGACCAGATGTGGAGGGCTTACAAAGTGCTCTGCTAAATTCTGGACCTGTTCTAGAAAGGAGAGGTAATAATTAGCAGAGCCCCTTGCATGATTCAAAACAGACTCCCGATGATCTTAAGCTACACTAACTGAGGTTTTCCATGAACTCTTTGTTCCAGAAGAGCGCCCGTCTCTACCTCGACACTAATGATATGTGGGTAAGGAAAAGGAATGCTTCTGCCACCATGCCCAGTGACTTACAGGCAGGGACCTTGGATAAAGATGGGAAGGGACACTGCCTGAAATGCATGTTGAAGGATCCTGTGGATGACTGGCAATCTACGAAGCAACACTAGATCCGTGGGCTAACAAATACACAGACATCTTTTTTCTTTTCTTTTTTAAATCTGAGAAGGCGATTAAAGAATAAAGAAAAGAACAACAACAAAAAAAGTCTTATACTAAAATAAGAAATCAGCCCCATCTTGGCACAGTTCTCATGCAAAATATTGCACCCAGTGTTAACTAACGCTAGAAGCTTCAAACTGTATAAATTTAAATGTATTTGCATATTATAAAAATAAAGATAAACATATACATATTTTACACTAGTTACGGAACAGCAATGAATGTCAGTTGATTCCTCTTTCACATTGAACAGAACTGAAACCCGAGTGCTCTAAATACTGCCACTGTACTGTAACTATGGCTTATATGTGCACGGAAAACAAAATCCCTGAGAAGCCATTCGACTTTTTTTTTTTTTCTTTTCTTCAAGTAGCGCTCTCCTTGGAGGATCACAGTTCTGAGGTTCCGGTTGTGAAACTTTAGCTCCATGCTCTCTCTGTCCTTCCTCCGCCCCCTCCACACCTCTGCGGTGGTCCTCCGGAAGCATCCTGAGCTCTTCTTCACTCCAGTGCCCAGCATGTGCTTGGAGGTGCAGAGGGTTCCCAGGTGAGTTGTGATGCTCTGTTTTCTCCATGGAAATCCCACAGTCCACAAGTCACTGGTTTCTGTGCTTTTCACCAACGTTCTTCCTAGATGGGTGTAGGAGAGGAAAGTACAGAAATGACTACAGTGAACCAACAATGACAGTCTGACTGATAAGAAATGAAGAGTGACGATCGACACAGATTCATTTTCTGCATGGGTTTTCATCTTTACTTCTCTAACTCCTTATAAACATGTAGAGGTCAGGCCACTACCATCCTCACGGAGGGAAGCTGTTTTAGCAGTAAATCAGTCAAATATTTCTGTTTGTGACGTTAGTCTCAGATCAGCCATAAAGAGGGAGTGATGCTAATTGGCCACAATACTTATTCCATTGTAAATTTTATAGCATAACTAGATTTTTAATTTACAACCCAAACTCTAATCACAAAACTGCTTCCTTTCAATAAACACATGCACACATGGGGACCCAGGTTACACAACACTCCAGGAGGGAAACTATGTACCAACAAGCAAGAATGGATGCCTATCTGGGTCTGAAAAGCGTGATTTGAGGTAGTGTTATAAGCAAGGTTGTTGACTCAGACCTAGAGTTTGATGGGTACGCACTGAAGAAGCCGCTGCATCTCAACTGACTAGATACAGCAGCATTTAAGTCAAACCAAATAGCTACAGGAAACGAATATCAAAATCCCCATCCTTTATTTCAGCTTTCCTACAATGACATGGGACAGCGTGTTTTAAAAGCATTTTAGCACCATTTAAGAAACCATACAAGGACAAGGAAAGAAAAGGAAAAAGGAGTATGATCTCTGTCCCTCATCCCATCTCTACATGCTTCCTGAGTTCACAGACACTGATAATTCAGTGTCCACCTAAGACATCCTTCCATCCCAAGTAAGAATCAGCTTGGTCAAGCTTAATGAAAACATCACCAAAAGTAAGTTTCTTCCATTTGCTAATTCCATGCAGGGAACCGTTCCTTTCACTGTAGCACATGATTTGAGTAATTCTCACCTACTGACAATCCCACCAGGTTAGCTAAATCTTACTCTGCACTTGACTGAGAGGGAAACTAAGTCCAAGAGGTTAAATGACTTCCTGGAGGGAGGTGAAATCACTAGTGAGGGCAGAGCCAGGCATTTAACCAGAGTCATGTGAGTCCAAAGCATGCTTGATGAATACAAGGCAGGTTGGCTCTTTGAGATCCTCAGGATAATTTCACATTTCTGTGGCCCCCAACTATGAGAAGGCCTATTAATACAGTCAACTCCCAGTAGAGAAGGTTTTGAAACTGTCTCAAATTCAAGCAATAATAATATGACTGATCTAACTGTAAAGAGGATGGTAGTGTGAAAACAGCCCAACCAGGCAGTTGGCTTTGGTGCTATGATTTGGGGTTCATATGGGTGATGGGCTACATAACAATTTTTTTTTTTTCACTGAATCTAATGAACCTTTCGAAATGCAGCCAGTTGGATCTGGCTGGCTACTCCCTTGAGCCACACCTAAGACTGAGAAATGCAAGAACTCCTAATCCAGGGCACCTGAGAGGGGATATCCCACTGTTTACCGTTTTCAGCAGTTTTCCATATCACTACCACTTTTCACTTTTGATTCTTAGGGAAAAAAGCCATCACATCTCCCACCCTCTCTATTTCTCAATAAACTCAACATCCACCTCAAATACTACTTCCTGGGACTTTTCCTGATTCCTCCTGGTGGAGTTCTATCTTTTGAGTGCTCCCCAGACTCCACACCTGTCATGGCAGGCATCCTATTTTAACAGCAATTCAACACTCACAAGTTTGTCTGCTTATTTCTTTGATTCTCATTCTATAAAAGAGTCTCAAGGGCAGGGTCTGACTTGGTTATTTCTGCATCCTCAAAGTTGTGCAGGGAAAAAAAAATAACTGATTAGAGTTAGAAGGCTTCCCAGAGACAAAACATGGCCATAAGGACAACGGACCTTCACTGGGTAGAAGGGAAAGGTGGCAGCCTGTTGAGGGATGGCAGCCACCAGGGGGCGCTGTGGTTGACGCCCTCCATAGTAAGGGAGCATCTCTGGGTCAGCAGAGTGTCTGGGATCTGTGAAGGGCCTTGAGGGATATGCCCAGAATTTTGAACTTGAACCTGTAATAACCAGGAAGACATCCAAAGTTTAGAGAGAAAAGGACAAATGATAGAGGGTAACAGGCCAATTGACACTCCATCACAGAGATCTCGGCAGAAACCAGGGAGGTCTAGAGGAAAGCACAATGCTGAAAAGAAAGTTACATGGCCAAGTTGACGCATGTCAAGGAACATTGCTAAGAGGGGACAACAGGTCTTGGTGATAGACCATGCATGGGGAATAGAGGAGAGGAAGGCATTGAATCTGACAAATTCCTAGGCTGGGAAGATGGTCACAAAGCTCTGCCACTACCTGTGACAGAAAACACAGACAGATGAAGATTTCTGGGAGAGAAAGACAACTAATTCAGTCCTCCACCTGTGAAGCCTATAGGACGTCCAGGGGAGCTGCCAGGTGGGACACTGGAGACTGAGGTGTGAAACCGAAGGGAGGGCTCAGCCTGGGGGGTTCCCAGGTTATCGGACCTGACACGCCCAGGATGGAACAAAGAAATTTTGACTCAAAGTATTTAAACACTTAGGCTAAAAATGAAGCCATAACATTTTGTATTAATCATGTCTCTTATTTCTATGTTCTGATGCTTTGATATCTGGGGCCTTGCTGACCCTGGAGGAACTGGCCCTCCCAGAAGGAGCCAGGTCCTAAAAAGAGAAAACAACTCAGCTGTCCATGTACCTTGCACATACAAACTAACCAGTCCAGAGCCCAGAGCCCAGAGCCCAGAGCCCAGCCACCTCCTTTATTGGCTCTCACACTCTGGGTCACCATCCACCTGCTCTAATCACCCCCGGGCCAAATGCCTGGCATCTAAGGACAGCCCTTCACCTGAGAACACTGGAATAATTTAAATGAGCCAACCCCAAGCTTTCTTTCACTGCCTCACTTGCTTCTTCCCATGGAAACCACAATAAAGACTTTGCCCATGGTTCCTCCCTCTTTCTCAGTACTTCCTTCCCTAGGTAGCCTCCCATCACCAAGGTGTGCCATGCCCCCTTCTCCTAGAAATTGCGGATGTTAAAATATCTTTTCAATGGCAGTTGTCTGCTGATCTGTTTGCCTTACTGTACTTTAAATCTTCTATGAATATACTGTATTTTAAAATATACATGCAAGTGAGAGCCTCCAGCGCTGTGAAAACTGTCCCAAAGCTGGGAGCCAAGACACAGATCGCAGATGCAGTGGTGCATTCAGTAACTGCTACTGTGGGCAAAAGGCTCTGCCTGGACTCTACACTCTGTCCTCTGTGACTTACCTGGTTGCTAGCAGGATCCAATGACTCAGGGCTTTTTTTTTTTTTTCATCTGAGGCATTTAAACAGATACTATTGGCATTTGTGACTACAATAAGAAAGAAAGGATAGTTCTCCTTTCCTCTCTATTCTATGAAGGGAGGGTTGGCGTACTGAGGTTTACAGCAGGTACCTTATAAACAGATCTTTGTGCACTTTGTGCACCTGTGCTGGTGATAGAGGAGAAGGGAAGCCAATGGCTTACCTACCTAACCAGCTTACACATTTACTTTCCTTGAGTAGGTACCTCAATTAATAAGCTGCTAAGTAAGTTGAAAGGTAGATTTTTGCCACAGCATCTACATCTTCAGAGGAATTTTAAAAAATTTTTTACCCATATATATATTCTATCAATATATATTCCTAGTAGAAAAGACCATAGCTGAATGTATGGAGCGTTTGTGCACTCTGGGGGTAACTAGACTAAATGCTTCATCTGCAATGGTCTGTGCATATGAAACAACTTCATGAGATACGTACTTCTATTATCTATATTTTACAGACATTTGTGACAGAAAACACAGACAGATGAAGATCTCCGAGAGAGAAAGACAACTAAGAAATAGCACTAAGAAATAGTAAAGAGCCAAACTTGGGAAGTGTAAAACAACCTTAAGAAAAGAAATATAAACACTTATTTTTAAAAAGCTACATGCTGCATTAACCAATCTCAGCTTTTCCTGATGTTATATTCTGGCATAACCACAGAATATATGTGTGGTACTGGGAAACAAACCCAGGGCCTCTTTGCATGCTAAACAAGTACTCTACCTTTGGGCTGTATCATTAGCCATTTTAATTTTATTTTGATACATGGTCTTACTAAGTTGCCCAGGCTGGCCTTGAACTTGTGATCCTCCTGCCTCAGTCTTCTGAGTAGCTGGGATTACAGGTGTGGGTCACTGTGCCCCGCATGGTGTAAATATTTTAAAAATTACTTTTTTTTTCCTATCAAGTATCTAAGATTATGGACTCATGAAATATTATAGTAAATTAAACAAAAGAATCAAGTGGTTTCCTATTCCTAATTTCCAAATGTGAGTGGATTCTGGACAAGTAAAAGATTAGCTACCCTAGGATGCCCTTCTGTGTGGAATCTCTTCATCCCCAGCCCCCCTCACCCCAAAAGCTCTCCAGGTCTTCAGGAGGGTCTTACCTATTCAAGACACTCTCTGCACTTCCCACAGACTTACCCTTAATACTTGGTGCTCCTAAAGTCACAGACTGGGTACAGTAAAAATGATGGCATAAGGGAAAGAAGCACTATCTTTTCCACTTAATTTTCCAAGAAAGTATGAAGGTACCTAAGCAGAGAGGGGAAAAATTCCAGTATCAATGTGGCTGATGGGAGACTAAAGGATTGAAGAAACATAATTTTTCCTAGCCTGTAAGAACAGTCAGGCAACGAACTGTTACTCCTTGCATAGGATAAAACAAATCAATGCAAATCAATGTGACCACTCCACAAGCAACATCCACACTTGGCCTTTTCCTCTAAAACACCAGACCATCCCCACCTTCCATGTCTTAAAATTCTGTGGTCCCTGAAACATTCTCCATTGTGATCAAGCCAAATTCATCTTGTACCATTGTTTTTTTAGAATAGGTCATCAAGTCCATGCTAACTAATCTCAGTGCACTAAGACATTCTTTGCCCCTTTATTTGGTGAGAATAAAGATCACAGTCTTCATTCTATTTTTTATAAAAGCCAATTTCAGTTGGCCTTAAATATCCTTTGCCATAACAAAGTCATTGCAAAAATTCCTGTGCAAAGTAATCAGTGTACTTTTGAGAATACTTAGAAGCAGCAAGTCACTGGAATTTAGTGGGGCTGTTGCTTGAGTGAGAATTCTACTGTACATAGGCAAGAATCCAAGTTTTTAAAAAAGGGGCTTTGAAATGCGGTATGTCAGCCTTGCCCTCTATTGTTATGAGTACTTTCTGGAAAAGGAGAAAGCTTGGCCCAGCAATTTCCAAACCAGCCCATTTTCACTAATTCTATAACATAGGACCCACCAAAATCAGAATTAACTACCTTCTTCACTCTCTACAAACTCCTGCCACTCCCCAGATGATGGAAAACACAGACGTAGTGCCACTAGAAGAGAAAGGTCAACTGTCAGGAAATGAAAATGATACATCCCCACTTCCTGTATGTTCAAGGGTCAGTCCATTAAGAAACCACATGGAAGAATGTGGGTTGTGTGCCAGCATGCCTCAAGGTAAAATGTTTTCACTTGCTAACCTGTTTAATTCTGTCTTTTGCACAGAACACAGCAGTTCAATTTGATTACCAGGCAGTTTGTCACATAGTGCACAGTTCATTTGGTGGAGCTGGACATTGCTCTGAACTTCTTTGGAAAGAAAAAGAGAGACACTCTGCAGAATACCTACAAATGACATACCACTGGCAAGCTGCCATTTACCCAAAGAAGCTCATGTTCCCTGTGAGCTAGAATATTAAGTGTCTCAACCTGGGAGCAACCGGATGGAGACAGGCATTCACAAATAAAAAATGTAAAAATATTCTCTTTCTACTTTCCCCACTGAGAGTACAGTCAGTGCTCCCTATTCTTGAATTCTGTATCCTTGGATTCAACCAACTGCAAGCTGAAAATGTTTGGAGGCGGTAGCGTACTGCATGTGTATGGAACCTGCCCTCATCATTATCCCCTAAACTATACAGTTTAGCCAACTATTCATACAGCATTTGCATCATATTATAAGTAATCTAGAGATAATTCAAAGTATATGAGAAATATGTGTAGTATAGTTATATGCAGATACGCATAGTATTATTTTTTTTATAGAAAGGACTTGAGCATCTGCATATTCTGTTTTGTCCATGGGGGTGGAGTGGAGGTTCTGTAAACAATCCTCTAATGGATACCATAGGGCGAGTGCTTACTTTTGCCCCTTACAACTCCTAATGTCCAAGACTCAGCATCCCTTAAATATCTAGGGGTCAACTGGGCTGCCGCCAAGAAGCCCTGAATGAGGGTCATCTCCCTCCATGCAGCTCCACCTTCATTTCATCCTTCCTTCATCCAAGAAACAAGGGACTGGCAGTGGGGGTACAAATTCAACTCATTACCATGGGAAATGAACTGTACCTGGGATAACATGATTTTCTGGGAACTTCTTTAAAACTCAGAAATCTGTTGCACTCTAACACACTAGGCAGCCAAACCACTAAAAATATCAATGGATTGTATGGGACACTAGGTGATGTATTAGACACAAGTGACAGCAATTAGCACAAGATTTCTTTCTGATGAAGACAGACTGATACACTGCATGACTCTTTAAATACACTGATAGTCATTAATGAGTGAGGTTTTATGGTATACAAATTATACAACAGTAGAGCTTAAAAATATGAATCTCACACAAATTTTGTCCTCGACGAAGTGGGCATTTCTTGGAGCAACTCAGGCGAATTTTCTACAAGATGCAATGTTCATCTCCTGTCAAATGCATACACACTTAAAAATCATGATCTCCAAAGTATGGAAAATGGCTCATGTTTCTACTTGATCATCAGCAAAGAGGACAAGAAGCCACTTAGTTCCCATTTCTTTCTGGAGGGCCAGGTGTGGGAAGGGAAGCACTTCATTTTGTTCCTGAGACCTCTTCTCAATAGAATGCTGGTGGACACCTCAGCTACCAACCACTGAGACAAGCCACAAGAGTAAATCACATTTTTAAAAAAATGACTCCTGGTTCTGTGCCTACCAACTCCTGATTCTGTGTCTCTCCCCATGAGGGAATAAATCAAAATTTTAAGTGAGAAATAAAAAAGCTTGGGATTCATAAGGAAGACTCATGGTAGAGCTCTTGCCTAACACCCGTGAGGCCCTGGGTTCAATCCCAGTACTGAAATAAACAAAACCAAAAACTCATAAGGAGGCCCAATGAACAGCCATGGACTTTTTTTTTTTTTTTCTTCATAAAACTGCACTGTACCACCACTTTTTTTCATTTAGTCAGAGGTAGGTAATTAAATGACAAGTCTGATCTCATCTATAAAAGAGAGGAGTCAACTGAGAAAGGCTTGAGATGTCTTTTTTAAAACCAAATAAGATCTAGATCAACAAGAGATAGGGTCTTGCTTAGTGCTTTGCTTTTGCTGAGGCTGGCTTTGAATTCATGATCTTCCTGTCTCAGCCTCCTGAGCCACTGGGATTTTAGGCATGCAGAACCATGCCTGGCCATCCTTTCTTAATGTGAACTATAAACTATATGTTCACCCTACCTGAAAGCAGAAGGGACTGTGACAGGCTGACAGCAATGCAGCACCCCTCAGTTGTGTCTTGGTGCTGCTAATTGGACATGGACAAGAAAAAGGTCCCAACAGACAAAGGTGACCTTACCGGCTGGGAGCCCACCCTTACAGGTGCAGAAGGGATCTGTGAGACCAGGATATCCAACCCACATACATAAATCAACTGAGAGACTTCTGTGTTTTTAATACTCATGCCTGGTCCCTTCCCCTAGAAATTCTGATACATATGCCTGATGAAAAAAGTTCCGTTTTGTCCATCTACCTACATTTTGTGGGATAACAGAAAGTAGATTGCTCTAGTGATCAACAGCCTCAGTCTCCCAATTTCAATGCCTGCCAGGACTCCAAGTCTCAGGCTCATCACCAGGCCACATTGACTTAATTACTACCTCCTTTTACAGCTATCCTCATAGATCCGCCCAATCTCCTGCTCCAGCACACTGTCACCCACATGTGCTATTAGACCTTTCCCTGGGTGTGACCTGCCTCTGTGTATGCTTTTGTGTTCATGGATGAGCTGTGGATGCTTAAAGAGTATGGGGTGTAAAACAGGAGGGCACAAGCAGAGGCTTCAAATCTAAGCAAGTGTTCATGTATATGGTCATGCAAGGTACAGTTTCTCTTCACCTCCATGCTAAAAACTGAGTCCTGCCAGAGAAGCAAAACTTTCCTATTTAAAGAATACCCCTTCATTTAGAGTTGAAAAACTGCCATCCATTTTATGAGACTTTTTTTTTTTTTTACCTGTTTCAAAATAGAGCTATTCAGATTGCTAGGTCAAAAGTGGTTCGATCTCTAATGATGCTCCCTCCAGCAAGGAGAAAGGTCAGAGTCCTCTCTCTGATTGCCCAAGATTTTAAAGCTGCTAGTTCATTTAGGTTCAATAAGCTGTCAGAGGGAAAGGCTGATAACATTTTTTTTTTTCCAAGGTGGTGTAAATGCGGTCTTTCTGTGGCAGGACAAGAAGCCCATGGGAAAACACTGATAACGCTGGCTGGGTGCCAGTATAGCTTCCTTGTGCAAATGGATATTATAACTCCTACCTCTACCTCGCCTATTAAATGGCATGCATCTTCGGCAAAACAATAGATTAATGTCTCTCTTGGGAAATTTATGCCAATGGTAAGTGTATTGAATAACTGTTTCCCTGTATTCCCATACCTGCTGGTTCTAAAATACCCCCTCATTCTGACCCTAGATGAATCAGAAAAAAAAAAAAAGGGGGGGGGGATCAATCAATATGCATGAGTTCAAAAAACAAATTCAAAAAAACACGAAAAAGTTTCTGCATGTTGGTATGTTCAGGACAGGGGATAATAGGAACTTGCTAAGTAATCCTCCTTTAATATTTAGGAAGCACGTCAAGATTTCAGTGTGGTTTAGGTCACATCAGTGATGAAATATACTAGGCACATGTTAGATTAAATAGGATTATGAATATAGCATTAGATAAGAGCTTTCCTTCAGTGATATTTTCCAGCAAAGATGGATTAGGGATGTTCTGTCAAGTAAGTTGCTCCATTTGGAGAAAAGGGGGCCTCACACCTCCACTGCAGCTGCTAATGTGTGACAATGCCACTGGGAGAGCCTGGCAGTGCAGAGAGCACCACAAAAGCTCCTGAAAACCAGAGAAATGAAAAGTTGTGCTGCAATTGTGCACAACGAATCAAAATGCATTCTGCTGTCATAGGTACCTAATTAGAATAAATAAATAAATATGTGTGCAGAAAAAAAAAATGCTCCTAAAAGAGCTGCCACTTTGGGGACAAGGTATGGGCTCCTACCACACAGAGCTCTGGCATATGGCTGGATAGGAAATTTCTCAAGATGAGATTAAAAATCACAATTCTCATAAGCAAAATTTCCAGCTTCCCTCAAAAAAATAGAAAACTTAAGTAGAAAAAATAATTCTATATGGCCGACCAAGCAGAAAAATTAAAATCTGCTGCATGCCTATGAGTCATGTTGCCGATATCACCTGGATAATGAGATGGTGACCAAGAAGATCTGTGGCTGCTTTTTCAAGGTATGAGGTACATGGACATTTCATCTCAGTTTGAAAACAGCCTTCTTGGTTCCTAGTATTACAAAAACAAGAATATAAGTTAGAAACCCAAACAGGGTGGGTTTCATCTAAAATACCAAGCTCACATTCTACCCAATAATTAGGGTGCATGGGTGCATTTTGTCTTTAAGTCCTTTTGGGGAGAAGGGTGGTGGCAAGCTGCATGGTCCTTGATTTTCAGGGATGGACTAGAAATGCAGAGCCCCACAGCAAAAAAAGAATCTATTATAGGCTTTTCTTACTTAATGGTCCCTCACTATTCTCTAAAGTAAGAACCACTTAATTCTGCAATGTCAGAGTTAAGAACTCACTTGGGACACTTTTTGGGGTTCTGGCAGAACCTAACAACCTTTCAACAAAGAGCTATGCACAAATGATCTGGGGGCAAATGTTCTTTTGATTACACGTACTGGCAAATAAACTAAAACCCAACAAACCGAACATTTCATTTTATAATTTGGGAGGCGGGCACTGGGGATTTAACCTAGGGGTACTTTAGCTCTGAGCGATATCTCTAGTTCTTTTTATTTCTTTAGAGACTGGGTTTCACTGAGTTGCTGAGGTTGGCCTCAAACTGAGTCCCTAAGAATACAGGCATGAGACATGGTGCCCAGCTAAATTGGGCATTTTAAAATGAGCAAACTGTGTGGCTTGTTTGTGATAGCTCAATGAAGCTGTTAAAAGATGCTCTAAATTTATCAGTGAAAGTAAAAAAATGGCAATAGCATGCTGCCTAAGCCATGGTGTTGACATCACTCAGAAGAATCACATCTTCCTGCAGGGACTTTTCAGGATATTCGTGCAGATGCGGTTTCACTTAGGTTTTGGAGATCACATCTACAGAGTCAGGATCAGGAGTGAGGAGCGGGGGCCGGTGGGGCTTTCCAAACTCACTTGGAACAGGGGCTGATCACAGTCGGCGTAGGTGGGTAAACCAAGGCAACATTCACTCTCTCGCTGCCATTCTTGGGGCAAATGATTTCTGCCACTCCTTCTGGTCTGGGCTGGCTCAGCAATTCCCCTGCAGGAGAAGAGGAAAATGCATTAAGAAGAGGTGCCCTGCAGAGAAAGGAACAAGGTATTTGGGGTGGGAAAGGGAAGGAGAAGGGCAGGTAGTGAGGATCTACAGACAACGGACACAGAGAACAAAGGTGCGCCCAGAACAGCAGGGTTGGCTGGGCTCCCGTTCTCACTGTCTGAATTGTCATCGGCATCACCATGGAAAAGGTTCCCGCATTATAGCAGGAAGGCTGGTCCCCAAGGCGAAGACGGCATCTGCCACCCTCCTGCTCACCTTCCTTTTCACTTACTCCAGAGATCTTTAGGAGCCAGGCTCCCTGGAGCCCAGCAAGGCAGTGCTGCCAGGGAGGGTGTTCATAATTAGGATTTGGGACAGAACATAGCAGCCTTTCAACAAAGCCCTGCACACAGATGACCTGGAGGGATGGCAGACTAAAGGTGTTAACAAGGTAAAGGGCCCCAAAGCAGCCCAGCCCCCTCCTGGCAAGAGCATTTCCAGGCCAGGTCTGTGTGCCAAGCTCAAAGCACCAACTCTGAACTATCTTATGACTAATGGGACCTAGTAAAAACGGGTGATTAACTTAATGGATTGCCACAACGCCTAGAGGAAATTGGATACTGCATGCCCCGGATATAGTCTCTCTCCAACTAGATCATTAACTCCCCAAGAGCAGAGCTGGACTTCTACTTCCATTCCTTCATTCCCTCCCCATGGTCCACCCTGCCTCCCTCTGTTCTCAGGGCCAGCACAGGGTGCTCTGTCTTCAGTCTTCAATAAACAGCTCTGGCTGATGATGGCAGTTTTTGCCTGAACTGCCCTCATTGAACCTAGAAAGTAAATAAACCGGACCAGGGACACACAAGGTGTGCCCACAGGGGAAAGACATGACTGAATGTCACACTTCAGCTTGACGGTAGTCATTGCTTCTACCGCTCATGTGAAACTCTAGAGACCCCAGAGGACAAGCTGACAGACAGGATAAAAAATTGCCTTGCTCAAAATATCATATTTCCAGACAGGCGTGGTAGCACACGCCTGTACAGCAGCTCGGGAGGCTGGGGCAGGAGGATCCCAAGTTCAAAGCCAGCCTCACCAACTTAGCGAGGCCCTAAGCAACTCAGCGAGATCCTGTCTCTAAATAAAATATAAAAAAGGGCTGGGGATGTGGCTCAGGGGTTAAAGACCTCTGGGTTCAATCCCCAGTACCTGCCCCCCGCCAAAAAACCTATATTTTAAGCATCTGTTAGCTGTGCTCAAAGCATATACTCCATGCACCAGCACTCCATGAACTTAAGAGCTTTAAGTGGACATATCATTCAATCCATACAACATCCTGGGGAAGGTTTGTCCTCAGTTTATAAATGGGGAAGCTAATGCTCAGGGAGGTTATGTGATATACCCAGTAATCAGGAGATAACAAGTGGCAGACTGGGGACATAAATTTGGCTCCCATCTCTTGGGCCCCTACCTTTGGCCACCAGCCTCTAGAATGTCCCCCAACCAGGGACTGCTTGTCCATGTCAGAACGTATTTTTCCAGGAGGAGTAATCTAAAAATCCCTATTTGAAAATAATGAACTAAAGCTTTCACATATTTATGCTTCCAGGAAAGGCATTAATTTCTGGATTGGAACATTTTTATATGGCTTTGCACAATAGTCAGTACCAGAAACTGCTGGAAACACCAAATCACCACTAAAGTTCATTTGGCATCATTAGCTTGTCTCATGGGGTCAGAACTACACTCTGACAGTTAGGAAAAGATCCCCAAATATAAAAGCACAGTGACAAATGTAAACATTAAATGCCATCAAAGTAATAAGATGAACTCAAGCCAGCAGCATGTTAGAGCTAGACTGAATCCTGGAAGTCCTCCAGTCCAAACACCACTTGGTAAGTCGGAGCTGTCTGAGTTCTAACAGATCTGCCCCACATCCCATGAGAGCTGTGCATCTTTAAACCACCCCCACACGTGCACGCGCGCGCGCGCGCACACACACACACACACACACACACACACACACAGTGCCAGGACCACACGAGAGGGCGTTTGGAGCACCCTGGCTGGACTGCCCTCACTGTCGCCTCTTCTGACAGTTTCAAGTTCTACTTTTGGTCCTAAGATCATCCCCGAAGCCTGAATAGCCTGGGCTCCTCTGGTTTCCCCTCAAAACCCTGCAAGTCAGAATTTCACACAGGCCTCAACTTCATCTGCTTTTGGTTCCCTGGGTTCACTGGATTACACTACAGATGCCAAGTCCCTGTCCCCGACACCCCACTTGGGCAACAGTCCAGTACAGCTGGCTTCTCTGCTGAGCATGTTGCAGCTTTTGGTGAGCGGAAGGTGGGTTTGCCAGAAAACTGGAAATAATTTGCAGAAGTCTATTAAGCCTTAGTTACCAATTTTGTTTAAACCAATAGTGTTACTGTCCTTCCTGAAAAAGTCAGGTAACTGGTTTTGTTTGAATCCTATTCCTAGCAGTGTGGTCTGTATTGGTGTTTGGTTTGGATGTGATTTGTACCCCAAGGGTTCATATATTGGAGACCTGATACTTCATGTGGAGGTGCTGAGAGGTGGTAGGACCTTTAAGAGGTAGGGCCTTGAGGGAGATCCTCAGGTCAACTGCACACATGTCCTCAGAAAAGATCGAGGGACTCCTCTCTCTCTGGCTTCCTCTTTTTTTGCTATAATTTCTCTTCCCATAAGGGCTTCCCATCATTGCCATCTGCCATGAGATGATGCAGCCAAAGGGAATCCTTGCCAGAAACTGCAGCATGCTATTGGACTTTTAGCCTCCAAAAATGAGAGCTAAATAACCCTTTTTTTTTTCATTATAAAGTCAGTCTGCTTCAGGTACTTTGTTGTAGTAATGAAAAGAGGACTAATACACATGAAAACAGAGCATGAAGGTAGAAGGCAGAGAAGTTTCACACATGAAAAAATTCACTTGATGCCAACGAATATTGAGCAATAAGCGGAATAGTTCATAATATATTTTTAATATTTCATTAGTTGTTAAAGAATTTTAAAATTTTATTTATTTATTGGTATGTGGTGCTGAGAATCGAACCCCGTGCCTCACACATGCTAGGCAAGTGCTCTACCACTGAGCCATAATCCCAGCCCCAACAGATCATAATTTCAAGTGCACTTACATTCTCCAACAATGTATTGCTATGTGTATGTATGAATGTCACAAAAATCCCACTATTATGTATAATTATAATATACTAATAAAAATTAATATAAAGTAAAAAGGAGAAAAAAAACATGCATAGTTCCTAGATTGACAACATAAGAACAACAATTTTTTCTTCTCAAACCTATCTCCAAAATGTGAAGAGTAGTTCACAATGCGTAAATCATCAAGTAAAATTGCAAAGCTAATCATCCTCAAATTTAACATAAATTTGATCTTCAAAATAAAGTACATTCTTGAGTTGAGCAACGACTGAGACCTTCCTGTATGTGTGGGGACTGTAGAGGATGCAGGGGAAATATGGACGTAAGGCATGGGTTCTAACAGGAAGGACCTCAGGGTCTGCAGAGAGAAGATGTCCATGTGAAAAACTCAATCCTGCATGACGAGTGCCCCAAGGACATTCTTACAAGATGTTAGAGGAGTGAGGGGAAGGTGAGGTCAGTACTGATTTGCAGGATTGTGAAAGGGATCAACAAATGGGGAATATTTAGCCAAAAGACCCCCCTGCTATGACTTGGATGAATATGCCGAAAGGTCCACATGTATAGGCTTGGTCCCTGGGGTGGGGGTTTTGGAGATGCTGTGGACCTTTAAGAGGTGGGGCCTGTTGGAGAGGTCATCAAAAGCATGCAATGGGATTGTGGCACGCCAGTCTTTTTCTCTATTTTTCCAGACTGTCCAGATGTGAATACTGTCTCCAACATGTGCTCTTGCCATAGCATGCTGCCCTTGCCAGAAGCTCAGACCCGTGGGCTGCCTGACCTTGGACTTGAACTTCAAAATAAATGACCCCAAATAAATGGGGTCATGACCCCAAATAAATCTCTCTATACTTTATAGTAGCCTGTCAGGTAGTAATGCAAAGCTGTCTAATAAAACCAGTAAAATTCATTACCAATATGGAAAAAGAATGTGTGCAGATGGGATAAACATCAACAATGTGAGAACAAACCTGCATTAACCCAGAGTGAAAAAAAATGAAGTCCACAGTAGCTTGATGTCATGTATGTATCATCTCAACCCTCATGACAACACTGTAAGGTAGGGACAGTTATTATCATCATTATAGAGGACAGGAACCCAGAGCTCAGAATGGATAAGGAAATGCTAATCGTAACAGAAGGAACAGTGCCAGCATCTGGACCCAGGACTGTCTGATACAGCTCTTAACCACCACATCACAGTGTCCTGTGACAAGACAAAGATATAGAGATAATTAAATGAGATAACCTATGAAAAATACCGAACACTATCATCCGGCATTTGATGAGTTCTTGACACTATTATTATAGTGATAAGAAGATTATGCAAGAGCTTACTCTTCCAAATATAAAAAAGAATACATACAAGCATATAAAAGCAATATACCAGGATCAGAACATAAATTATCAACATGCAAAACATGACCTCACTATATATTTGAAAAATTCAAATTAAAAAAATTAGATTTTTTTTACATTATCCATCATCCTAACAAAAGTAAACAAAAAAGATAAATCCCCAAATTGACAGGAGCTGTAAAAAGAAAAATCATACTTACGAGAGCACATTAACAATAAATTAAGAAAAAATATACATTTGATTGGGTATATTTCCATTCTCAGGAACCTGCTTAAAGGAAGTAGGTTTTTCTGACAAAAAATTATACAATGATTGCTCACAGCATCACTGGGGTCCCCCTCCCACACACACACTGTGTATTATATGAAGAAAACTTGGTAACTTTCTCAAATGTCCCCAAAACAGGGAAATGGCTAAAAATAATCACACACTAACAAGATAGAATACTATGTGGCATTTCCATATAAATTTGAAAACACATTCTAATTAGAATTTAGAATGAAATAGATCATTCAAGGGTAAACAGTCCTGAGGTTATTTACTTGCTTTTTATGTTAAGAGTCAACAATAAAAGACTACAAAGTACATTTCATATTGAGGGAGATGCCAGCGATAAATGCTGATCTTTCTTCTTAGTTGGAGATTTTCTGTCCCTGTGCAGTTTCCAATGCAATCAGTGTTTTTGAAGATGCATAATTGTGGTCTACTGAGCAGCACACTGGCATCCAGAGAGACCACTACACAGTCTCCTGTGCCCATTAAAGTTATGAAAAACTGCTTTATTACTCTGGCTCAAGACTTCTGACATTAGAAGGCTAGCCAATTCTTATCAACTGCTTCTTCCTCTGTGCAACAAGGGAACATCAGATTTTATTACCATTTTTTTAATTGATAGAAATAAGTGAAATGAGCCTCTTTTTTGCTTATTATAGGAATTCTCAAATGTTAGACACATTATGCAAAATACTAAAAACTTATTTTAATGACAACCCAAACCAAAATACTGAATGTTGAAATCTTTTCAGTGTAAATCAAAAAGCCCCCTGTGGGCTGGGAATGTAGTTCAGTGGTAGAGTACTTGCCTAGGAAGTATAAGGACCTAGGTTCAATCCCCAATATAGGAGGGAAAAAAAAAAAGAATTCATACCCCATTTGAATCAAATGTATGATATATGATATGTCAACATCATTATAATGTTTTGAGCAACCAATAAAAAAAAAAAAAGCCACTTGCTGATTTGGGATAAAGACCCAAGGTATAAACCTCTCAAAACAACAAAAGTTGCCTAGGAATTTTGGGGAAACATAATCATTCAGTCCATAGCAAGGAGAAGCTGAATGAAAGAAGAAATGTATGGATCAGTCTAGGTCTAGCCAGGAGACAGGAACACAAAGTAAGGCTTAACATAAACTATCATTTGCTGGTTGTAGGGTATAACTTTGAAGAGGGAACAGAAAAGAACTCTAAAAAACACCCTAAGGCTAAATAAGAATATCTAAGGAAGAAAAATTGGGAGTGGGGGAGACCCCCCCCCCCCTTGCCAAAGGCTGAGATTTGGACCTTGTTAGACTGGGTTTGATACAGCCTCCCTCTCCCCCTGCAGGTGAATTTTCTTGGGTTGCCCTAGGCCAGACTAAGCCACAGTCAGTTGACCGAAGCCAGGAGGCTTGGCACCCAGACTGTCCTCTGGGGCCAAGAAATTCAACTGCCTGTTGGGGTTGGGGAAGGAGGTTGAGAGGAGGGCATGCTGCCGAACTCACTGAGAACCCTGATGGGGCACCAGCTAGAGTCCCTTAAGAGCTAAACCCCTCAGGAAGCCACTGAATTAATTCATGAGGGAGACAGCTAGATAGACAACCCTCAAACCCCCTGGAAAAGGCCACTGAACTGGCCAGGAAATTGGCTGGGATGGCCATTCATCCATAGGATTTTTCCTGCTGGGCCACTGATAAGTCAGCTGGGGTGGCCACAGATGTTTCCCAGCACTGGGCCATCTCTACTCTCAGGAGGTACACTCTGCAGGGAGGCTGTATTCTTTGTGAGCACAGGATTTGTTTTTGTCTCAGTTAGTTCCTTTTAAAAATTAGTCAAACTGATAGGGCCAGTTGATAACTAGACATATGTCCTAAGGCATAAATTCCAAAGGCAGCTGCAAAAATGTAAACCACTGAAAACTGTGAGCCTCTCCTAGACCAGGGTTTTCATTTTAACCATACATCCTTGTGATTCTTCAAATGTAAGACATACTCTGAGTTCTAGGCAATTTCACAGTGTAAGAAATTGTCATCTCTAGCCATTTACTGAATTCTGAAGTCCAGTTTTGATTATGAATAATGAGGGTTTTTTTTTTTTCTTTTTTAAGTAAAATAAAAAAGTACCAGAAATGCCTTCCTGTGTCTTGAAGCTTCAGGGATGATTTGTAAAGTCTTATTAGTAAGACAGTATAAGCTACAGACCAACCAGAATGAGGCCAGTTGAGGGCTTCTGGAGATGTCCTTCGTCTAAGGGTGCATTTCTACCTATCTTCTAGGGAGATTTCATGGCCTCGTCATCAGGCAGCACTAAACAAACTGATTTTAACACTTCAATTTCTTCCTAGCCTCCCCCAAAGTGATGACAGAGGTGACAGTTACAGGCAAAAGGAAAAACAAGAATCACAATCGTGATGACTTCTGTGACTCCCATAATGACCCCACTCTGAAATGCTCAGATTCTCCTGATGAATAATGCAACAGGAGCCAAGCAGGGTCCACACTTGGGGTACAAATGACTGACACAGCTCATAATTCTTTTTTTGTGGCAGGTGCCCATCTCCAGTGGACAAGCTCAGTTTTTCCTGACTGCCCTGACAGTAATGCTTAGTCGCTAATCACACCAAGCCTTCTTTCTTCGTATTTATGGGACAGGGAAGGAGAAGGGGTGGACGCAGTATCTCTGATGTGGTAAACAAAGAGCTTCACTTGCTCTCTGGAGTTCTTGTGGAGCAATCACTCAGGTCTCTTCTAGATTAACAAGTTGTAAGCTCAGATAGGCTTTCATTTACGGCACTCCCATTTGGGAGAGTGTAGATGACTATAATGACTAACAAGAAAATGCTACATGGAGAACATGAAGAAGGGCTGGAGTGCGAGGATGAAGACCTGCAGGCCTGCCTAGTACATGCTAAGTGTAAACAGAGTCTTCATGGTTGAAAGCAATACATTTTATCATGAGGGTGGGCCTACCTCTGAAGCACAGGGTAATGTGTCCCCAACTCCAATTGCCTGAATGAAAAAAGGAGTAAGATAATAGTGCAGTTGATACAGTCCCCCATCCACTGAGCCACACGCCAGCCCACCAATCTCCTCTGAGAAGCAGCAGTAGAGCATGGGGGTGGCATCTGCCATGATGGTGGGCCTGAGGTGCACTGAGGGATTACAGGCCACCAGCGAGAAAGTGGATGTGGGAAAGACCTGAATGGGAGTTCAGACTCAAGGGTTAACCAATAGCATTCATACTTTTCCAAAACCTGATTAGCATAAATTTTAACCAATAGCCCTAGTACTTTTCCAAACCCTGATTGGCATAAATTTGGACCAATAGCATTGACTCAAGGGCTATCTAAACCCCTAGATTAGCACACTCAAGCGGCAAAGCCTACTGGGTCTCACTCTCCTACGGAAGGAGCTCTGTTTCTATTTACACTTGAATAATCCTATTCTTACACTCACTCGTCCTTGTCCTTGTCTGTAGATTTCATTCTTTGAATTCACGAGACAAGACGAGAACCCAGAAAAAAGACATTGGCAATGAGCTGCTGGGGTCTACTGAAACACTGAAAGGCACAGCCCCCGATTAAGAGTTGCAACACGTTTCTAGACTGCAGAGGCCTGCAGCTTACCCAACCTGCCAGCAGAAGCAGAGAAACTCTGTTTTCACAGTAGTCCTAGTTTTGAGGTAGAGTGGATTTGCCAATGTCTTTGCATTGCGACTTAACAATTTCTGAAACACCACCCTGTGAACAGGGAAGATCAATTACTGAATGCCTCTCAGGCATTTCAGAAACTTGTCTAGACAATAGAAATGACCCTATTACTTAGAATACCCCAAACAAGTTTTCTCTTATGGTGAAAAAAAGTAGAAAATCTACTTTCCTTTTTTGGTATCAGGGATTGAACTTAAGGGCACTCGACCACTGAGCCACATCCCCAGCCCTATTTTGTATTTTATTTAGAGACAGGGTCTCACTGAGTTACTTAGCGCCTCACTTTTGCTGAGGCTGGCTTGGAATTTGTGATCCTCCTGCCTCAGCCTCCTGAGCTGCTGGGATTACAGGCATACGCCACCATGCCCAGCTTATTTTCCATCTTTGATGAAGATTAAAAAATAAAACCACTCATAATTCTACCACCATTATTAACATGTT